AAATATGGTAACCCTATACTACCTTGCTGAAACAGATCAGCATGAAGGCTGGCTATTTTCAGAGCAACGCTTAGTTTTGCTTCAGTTTAATTTGTCACACGTATGCAACACAATATTATGGATAGAATTATTATTCCATGCTTTAGAGACCCTTGTTTCAAAGTCAGAAAGACCTCAATTCACCTCTTTCCTACATGTATCTCCTAAGTCATGCACCTGGAAAAAGCTTCACAAAGAACAAGCAAAAATAATAAATTATATTTTGTCTTCCACGTGATGATACCGACACTTGTTCCTCATAGTTGAGAAAATATCCCTTAAACACTTTTTGAAGAGTAAATATGGATTTACTCTTTAAAAAGAGTTAAAGTGTGTACTTGTGATGGCAGTTTTTGAAAAACCATCGACTTGTTAAAATATTATTAAAAAAATTAGAGCCATGCACTGGAATAAACCAAGAACTGTTGGACAATGTTCATGACATATGTTGAGGAATGTATGTTTTTAACTGTATATTTGAATATATTTATGGGAATTGCACTATTGGTACACAATGTATGGATGATGGAGCCTGTTTCTCTAAGCATTTATAAGAACTCATTCAGTTCTGAATGCTGTAATTGATCACCTTCAAAAGAACTACAACAAAATGCAAAGGTGCACAATGAAATTTTATTTCTCACATATAAAAGCCTCGGGTTCCTGGCAGACTGAAACTGCCTGAAGAAGCAAATGCACATCAAGCTCAAATATGTCTCAAGGACAAGAAGGCATACAGCATAAAATTTGAAGGAAGAAATATTAGTAGTCTAACAATGACTTTCAGTGTCATATGAACATGATAGTCACAGAGCTAACGCGATCATTTCTGCGGCATACGAACATGATGGTGAGTCATATACCAATCACAACACCTATGACTGTTCTGTAATGCAGAATTTGGTAAACGTATTCTTGATGCAAATGCTGCAACATGAAGAGACATACCAGAGGTACATCTTCATAAGCACCTCCAGAAAAGTGGCACCTGGCACCTCAGTCCAAGCATAAAGGGCACTGTGATCATGCAAAGAGCTTGCTGAAGCAAGAGTGGCAATAAGGCTTGTTCCCTTCCTCCTTGAAAGTACCCTTGTTCAGCTGCTTGAGGCAGAAGGAGCAGACAAAATGTTCAGGGTGGAACTTCTTAAACATGGCTGTAATGCAGCGTCCTGTAATGGGCTTGTGGCAACTGGCACACAATGAGCCCCTCTTCTGGTGGTAATGGGTCTCACAGTATGGCATCCCTTCAAAGTCGTAAAATGATCCTCCGGAGAAAGGCTGGCCACAATCTCTGCAAACAAAGCAGTGTGAGTGCCATTGAGTGTTCAAGGCAGAAATGTAGTTTTCTGTGATGGGGTGATTGCATCCATTGCACTTAGGTGCAAAAAGGGCAAAGTAGTCTTCCCTACAGTATGGCTCATCATCTTTCTCATGAAAACCATCATCTCCAAAGGTCTTCCCACATTTGACACAGAAGAAATGTTCTGGATGCCAGGTTTTCTCCAATGCAGTGATGCATTTGTCAAGGATGGGTCCATTGCAATAGGCACAGCGTGGAGAGAAGAGATTATGATAGTCTGGCTCACAGTAAGGCAAGCCATCTCTTTCAAAGAAAGTCTTGGCTCCCAACTCCTGATTGCAGTGAGCACAAGTGAAGTGTTCAACATGCCATGTCTTCCCCAATGCAGTTACGACTTGACCAACGATTGGCTTCTTACAGGCAGAACAACATCCTTTTTGAGTTGCAGTAACACCTTGCTTATCCATGGTGCTCTGCAGATTCCCCAGCATGGAATCAAGCTGGTTGCCCCTGCGGTCCTTGATGCGGTTTGGTTTAGCATAGTCCCCATTCTGGCTCACATGATGGGACCCCTGCATGCGAATATCAGACAAAGTGGACATGAGGTCTTCTAACTCCTTGGTGGCTGAAGATGCAGTGGTTGTTTTTCTCTTCGGCTCAAATACACAATCGACCTCAGGACGTCCACCATCACCATAGCCATCTGAGGTTTCATACCTACGGTTTTCTTCACGGATCATCACCGATTTTGTCACAGTTCCCTCTCCCTTTTGATTCAATTTCCCCTTCTCTAAGTCCTGCAGTAGTGAATCCAGTTCACTAAGACTGCTCTTTCCTATCCCATCCATCTTAACAGGCTGGGATGGATTTCAGTTACAAAATGTGGATTGGAACCAATCTGAAACAAATTCAGTTGTGTTTTTAAACTAATATCAAGCAACAGAATGTTCTCTAACCTAATATTCAGGATGCTTGGGCAGCCAGTCTATCTTTTTTTTTAAGTCTACAGCATAGGTTTAAGTAGGGTAAGGAGAGGGCTTTGGATGCAGGGCCATGGGTTCATGTTCTGCCATAACTGAATTGCTATTTGCACCTTACTTGTTTAATCTGTCATTGACTGCAAAGTGGCCACCTGTACAGTCTACGGCTACAATTCAATCAACAACATAAAAAAATACATTAGTATTTGATTCATTTGTCTTTGAGTGCATCTGTTGATTTAGGTTTTTCTCCCACATCAATATGAGTTACTTGCTCACTTGTGGCATGAAGTGGCCTTCAAACTGACACCCTGATCTCTCCCTTCAGGAAACATTTACATCAACTCTGATGGCATTGAGGCTATACAAGGCCAACCAATTGTGTGTATAAGGGGAATGAAGGAGAGTAATGAGAAGCAAGCTGCTCCATCCAACAACACAGCAGCCATACTTCCAGCTGTACCTTAACTTACATATGGCCTTTTTTTCTTTCACTCCTCTCCTTCTGGGGAAAAGATGTTGCAATCCCACTGAAAATTGAAATTCAGAAATATATCTTTTTCCTGTAGCTTAAATCTCAAGGCAAAAAAAGAGAATCTCACTTTCCTCTTCATAAATATGCAGCATAAAACTAATGGAATTTTGCTATGCAAATGATTTGGTATGTAAAGTGACATTTTTCCATGAAAAAAAAAGAAATAATGAATATTATGACTGTGCCTGTCACTTAAATTGAAAAAAGTTGGCCTTAAGAATAAAATCAAGTTCTTGTATACAGAATAACAATTCATGGTACTCGGCACCTCAACACCATACTATTTCACTTCAATACGTTAAAAGCATAAAGTACATCTGACTGCATAAAAAACACACTGCATACTCTGAGGCCCTGACTACACTTCTAATGAATAAACTCAACTAGACATAGCTACCTCAATGCAACTCCTTAAGTCCTAACCTATGTTTACTCAAACTAGATCAGAGGCCTTGCCTAAATCTAGGCCAGGTCCCAGTCAAACAAGGGCCAAGGCCTTCGACACGATGTAAATATTGTAGGCCTAACTTTGGCTTAAGCCTAAGAATAGGCTCGACGTTGGGCCACTGTTTTCGATCACAACGTCAGGTTACGCTGACTGTTCTTGGGAGCCAGGGGGCCAACCTTCACGGGCTGCAGCGGCGTGAGAGAATGGAAGGGAACGAACCAGGCTAAGATTAAGACTGGGGAGAACGGGAGAGAGAAAGGACGCTCAGCTCGCCCTATGGAAGACGACGCTGGCCCATTTTCTTTACGACTCAGTCGCAGTGCCCATGTCAGGGAGAGAGTGAGGATAAGTCGCGGCGTCGATGTCATGAACTGTGCAGTCCCCAACGGGCGATTCTCACTGATAACTTCGAGTTTGAGGTGTCGCCAATCTATGAAACCCTAATAACACGATGAGAAAATGAGCACTGAAGGCCTCCCTTGCATGCATACCGGATGATATCCATTTAGATAGAAAATATTTCCAGTAAAGAACGCTTCGACCTCGAAACTACTCATTCCCCGCCTGCCATTCTGGATGCAACTCACGCATGCCCGGAGCTGCAGCCAAAACAAACAGAAGGCAGAAGAGGAAGAAACAACATCTGTAAAAAAAAAATAAAAAAAGATAGTCCATTTCCTATGGTGAATCGAGAGGGTAGAAACGACTGAAGCACGTGGAGCTCCATCGTTCTCTCCTAGATGCCCCACGGCTTTGCCTTATATGACCCCCATCTTTCACTCGAACCGACAGCAGATCGAGCCCAGAAAGTTTAGTTTCGCCCATTGTGCGGCGGTTCCCCCCCCCCCCTTTCCCTCCCGTTGATTCTGGTCGGGTCTCCTGCCACGAAGCCCGAAAGGGCGAAGGGGAAGAAAGTAGATTAAAAGTGGAGATAAAAACGGACGTGAAAGCGGGGAATGTAACTTGAATTCTTCAATCCATTGCGGTATCTGGCCTTCTATCTTCCGCATTCAAAACGATTTCCATGTTTTATCGTGAACGGCCAAAAGTCTCGGCAGATGGAGTTGAAAGATTTGAGCAAGGCTCTGAAGCTGCTTCAGCATCCTGTCCCGAGAGTGCCTTTCCATGCCACACGACATTTCTGGGTTTTTTTTCTTATACTTTTGTATGCAAGACTCATTCTCTCTCTCTCTCTCTCTCTCTCTCTTTAGAAAAAAAAAAGCATAATCGTATTAGCAACCCTTCACGAATTCATTTACTTCCAAGTTTCAGGGTCTGTTAGATCTTCATATCATGTTGCATCGTCCTCATCTCTGTTAAATTGTTTGCGGCGACACATTAGAAAGCAATTGGAAGGTATCAAGACTATCGCATATTTCATTTTCTCCCTGAGTTGGGTATTGGATGAGAAGAGCTCTAGGAAATAATAAAAAATATATGAAGCACTCAAAAGGCCATCTCCCTATAAATCCTTTCAAATGGTTTCTATAAATACATTTTGCGACCTCAACCGGAGGTGGAGGATAGTGCAGGACTGAGAGAGGATGTGAAAGATGGAACGTACTGCGGGACCGGAAGAGGAAACGAGAGATCCTTGCTCGTCATCCATCCTCCACGCCCATTCTTCCTCGCTCGCTAATGCTGATGGATGTGCATATTTTGATTTCTCAGTGAAATGTCTTGCTGGGGTGAGCCTCACCATAGACGAACTAAACCTGTATTTTAATTCTTTAGAATATGAAGGGTCTGCATCAGGTGAGCTTGTACATTACTCAAGAACATGTCTCTTTCTAGATTTAAAATATGAATTTAAAAAAGTTAAGTTTAGATAATCAACAATTGTTCATCGAATATCTTTTTTTTTCGGTCAATTAAATATGCATATATGCTGGTTGTACGGGGGGGGGGCAGGATAGTTCGTGGACTTCATTTTTTATCTTCGAACGCTTGCACCTAAAATCCGCAGCTTGCAATTTTATTATTATGCAAGTCTGCATGACACATTTAAGTTTCGCAGATTGGCAAACCTTGCCAGAGAGGAAGAGTACAAAAATGGCTGAGGACCTTGTGAGAGAGCAGCGGATTGTGATAAAATTCCTTGTGGCTGAGGGTGAGAAGGACGCATCCATGCACAAGCGGCTGCAAAATGGTTTATAAGGACCAATGATTGAAGAAACGAGCGATATTCCCCACTACATAGTCTGGCAATATTCCAATTAAAGTTCCCTTTATTAGGGCCCTACAATCACGAAAGAATCCAAGTAACCTGGACTAGATAAGAGTGAGCCTATTCTGAGGTTCACAATAATGTTTTACCAATAAATTATTCAAAGTTAAAGTTCAATTGTTAAAGTTCAATTACCGTGAACTGGCTTCCTTAACCCCCCCCATCTCCCTACAGTCGAAGCCAAACGTTAAAAAGAAAAGAATCCACTCATCCTCGCTTAATAGCCATATTGCCCATAGTATTCTTTTATGGCACTCACTTTGCCAACTCAATTCTATTTATGGAAATATGAAGATACTGGGAATGTCATACGTTACTAGAATCACCATGCTGAGTGCATGAAATTTTGGTACTCGTTATAAAGAAAAGAGATATACCTTCATGCATAGAAGGACCAACCTGCGTCGAAATTTGATTCTTCTAAGAAGCAATTTTATTTTCCTCAGGTTGAGGACGGCTGCACTCTTCAGGTAAAATTTGCTACTGTAGCGTACTTGGCCCCTTTCTTGCCTGTGTAAACTCGTCATCCCACTTCTTTAATAAGAAATTCAACTACGCATTTTCCCGCAGACGATCAGAGACTTAGATGCCGCCACAGTGTTTTCGGATGCATTCGTCTACCATAGGCAGACAACCGGTTGGGACTGGGAGGGCGAAAGGCGAGTGATGCACTCGCATTCGCTCTCGCATTGCTACGCCAGCTGCCCGTTCGTGGATGGATGACTCAAGTAGATGCAAATCCTTTCTCGCGAAAGGATCTGGGGATTGCTTCATATGGCATGAGCCATCCTCCAGGGCCCTGACCTCCCTCTTGCTTCAACTATGTCCTGTGATGTGGTGTCCTAAATTCGATTCAGATGACTGTCCCACCCCGTTGCATTCGGGCAAGAATTAAAAGAGCTGAATCCAGATGTCATACATCATCATTAGGGCTCTTGCTTCGCCGGCAAAAGGCTTTGCCTTATTTTATCCTCACCTGAGGGATTCCCTGCAAAGCGCACTTTATGTTATACTTCCCCCATCATCCACTCCACTCCATTACACTCCACTCTGCAAAAAAATGAAGTGTCTCATTCGTCAAAGATAAAGAGTACAAATAATCTACGAGCCGTTCCATAGAAATTTTACGCGAGCAGCTGGATTTCATTGACCTTTGAGCATCTGTCATCACCGAAAGAAAACTCATTTGTAAACAGAATGGTTTACACTTGTGCCAAGGGTACGAAGCCAATGCTCTTGAGTTATGGCTGCGATCCCAGTGCATTGCCGTCATTAGGTTCTCGTATTTTCACAGATGATGAAGTAAGATGGTCGCATTCTGCGTTTTTTCCCCCTTCAATCGCTGTTCAATTATTTCGGTGATTTTTCCTTCGCTAGAATTGGCCAGGAGCATGAATGTAGAAATCTGAACTCATGTCAGGCATTCTCGATTGATGGCTCAAATACTTTATAATAATACAAATTAGAAAGTTTTCTCTTTTTAAAATGCCACACTCTATGTACACTGTTTGATAAATGTCATACAAGTTCAGGAGGACATCGAAGAAAATGTGATCGATGGAGTGCATTCGGAAGGCTTTTATACATTTACTCACTTTAAAAGAGAGTAAGATGGGTCAAGTTGCGCCCTACTCCTTAAAATTAAAATCAGTAGGTTT